GACTCGCAGCCAGTGGATGGGTTGCCATAGTGGGTCGGGTTGGTTGCCAAAGCAACGCTGCAAAGCGCTGCGATGAGTGCCGCCTTCGCCCACATCGTCGGCAATATCGAAGATGCCGAGGGTACTTGTGACCACGTACTAAGCCAAAATTCTTGAGCCAAATGGCTACGGATTATTTTCGGATTCAGGGCCGTAGGGTTTCGGTTCCGGGTGTCCTGACACAAAGGGACCCGAGCGGTGCGATGCCCCAAGCCCTCATTTACCAGCGGCTTGCGCCGCGGTTCTGATTTGCTGGATGGTTGAGAATGGCATGCCGCAGTTGAGGCTGCTTCTTGATGCTGCTTGCTTGAGTCAAGGCAGCGCCACCAAAACAACATTCAACTCCAAAGCCTTCGCCTCCCGCAGCCCCAGCAACATGTCTTGCAGCAACCGCAACTCACTTTGATTGGTATGTGTGTGCAAACATGCATATGTCTGTGCGTGCGTGCGCAAGTGCACTGCTTGTCAGTTTGCATGTTGGCGTTTTTCCATGTGTATACGAGCCTGAAATTAGCTCTTTTAGAAAGCCGTCTGGATGACAAAAATTGGCCACACTTAACACCAAGATCAGTTGGCACTGTGCAGTAAAACACGGCTGCTGCAATGTTCTTCCGCAGTGTCAGCCAGCACTCTTTTAGCACTGTGGTGGACCATACACTGCAGAGCCTGCCCACACCGCCGCAGTTGTGGTGCCTCCCTAAGTCGGAGTACTTTGAAGTCGACAGCAGAGAGACTGTGCTCTAGCAGTGGCCTATTGCAAAGCAGGGATCTTTGTACGCATTTGTCCTCTCAGTGCAGAGGCAAGATCCCCTCCCCAGTATATTAAAATGGCATGTCTTTTTGACAAGAGAAGTGATCAGAGAAGGGAGGAAGGTTAAACCCTAAAGCCTGGAAGGCCTGAACACTGAAGCCCGCTCACTTTGCCACTGCGTCAAGCCTCAGCTAGACGTAGCACATGTGGAGGTGGTTCAGGGTTGCAAGTGCTGACTTTAGTTTTGCACGCACAGAGGGAACACTGGGAGACACGGCTGCCGAAATGCTGACAGCAACTCAGTTGTCCAGAACAGGTGTGACCTCCAAGTCTGAAAAGGGGATGTGGGCTACAATGCAAACAGCTACCTCCACAGGACGTGTGCGTGCGCACCAGCATTTAACAGTCCATTGTTTTCAACGCGCCAGCTTCACTCTGCCTCTTGCCTCCCCTCGGCATCGACTTGCATGCACAACCACACTGCCATGAGATAGATGAGATTCAAGGCAATCTTGACACTACCGGGCAGTGCCAGCAGTGCGGTAGCAAGTCGCAGACCCCACCCCTTCCCTTGCACGCACAGTGCACAGGGTTCCAACATCGCAACTAGAAAAACAACAGACCGCGCGTTCTAAAACATCTACTCTATCGAGAGGTGTCATCGGGCCTCTCATAGTGATTGGGCTTCGGCTGCTTCGCGGGCCGGGCGTCCTCGTCTGCGAGGGCAGGAGCTGGGCGCTGCTGTGGCGTGGCCAGTGGCCTCGGCGGCCTCTTGTGAGGGGGATGGGGTGGGTGCAAGGGTGAGGAATGCAAAACATTGAGATGGCCAAGCCTCTTCTTGTACTCGAGGAACTTCAGCCACTCTGCGTTGTTGGTTGGACGGCTCTCTGCTTGTGCACGCCCCTCACGCAGTCGCCGTGGAAGCAGCTCCTGCGCGCTTCTCTGTGCGTGTGTGTGGCGTTCTTTTCGGCTTCAGCTTTTGTAGGTCTTGAGTGCTTAAGGCTTTGGCACAGCTACCACGTGTAGTAGCTCGTCCTTCAACGTTGAGAGCACTTCGCTTCGACACTTTGCCGCGTCTGCCTGGGCTTCCTCCACTGGCGTCAGCTGCTCGCTCAGAGCTGGCAAGAGCTCGGCCTGGAGAGGCTGCATGTTGCAAAGGACCTATATTATGGAGACGCGTCCAATAATAGGAACAATGATAATTAGAAGGACCTGTACTCTAGTCATTTAAGGACAAGCTCCACATGTTTTCGGCTAAGAAGTTCGGGTGTCCCAACTGGACAGCCTGCAGTCGCTGCCACTGCATCTTCTGGGAAGGCGACATTTTCAACCATAAGGGCCGATAGCCGCTCTCAGCGGCCATATGGAGCTCAGACTTCAAAGCAGCACAGCAGAGCCTGGGCTGAGGGCGTCTGGGGTTCTGCTGGCCTTTATGGGATGACCACATGTCGGAATTCCTAAGGTAATGCCTTCCAAACACTGGGGGCTTACAGGGGCCAGAGGCCTACATTATGCGAGCAAAGAGGCTGAATTTCCTCACCCACGAAGCTCAATCCTTGCACCATGCCTGTGGCAGATTCCTCGAACTTGATGTTGGTGGCTGCCTCGCGCGCAGGGCATTTCGATTGCTGGATCAGTCACTGTAGTCCGGTGAGCGGATGGAACAACGTCCACGAACCCTAAATGGCAAGATCGCAAACCCACATTTTGCAACACCCAACACGGAAAGCTACTGACTACACCCCCAATCTAAAATCTGAACACCAGGGATTTGCCAACCCTCCAGCGATCCTTGCTGATCGCGCACTTCTGACTGGCGTAGGGCTGCTCGGCACATATCCGGGAAGCCCGCTTCAATGACCGCTTCACCTCTCAGATTGATATCTCAGGCTTGGAGGTTTCAGTCTTCAGGATTCAGAGGACGTTTCAAGGTTCAGACAGGTCAAGTATTTTCTAAGAGTCCGGTCAGGAGCCCTGTGCAAATTCTTGCAGCACCTTTCTGTGTGGTCCAAGCCGCGCCAACACCTGGCCTACAGCACTTTTCATGAAGGTTTGTTGGTAGTTGTTAGTCGAGGGTAAAAGAAAAGCCGGCTGCTATCAGATTGTAAAAGGAACAGAGACGAGAATAAGGAGACCAGATTAAGGGACAACTGCTACGACTGTTATGCTTAAGGACTGCATGAACCCTAAAAGGCAGTTTTAAGGTACATGTAGTCCTTGAGGATAGGAATTGTTCAACTCATCCCCGGCCTGGTCCTGCACCGCCCCTGTGACGTCCGCGCCCTGGTGCCTGACTCTTGCCACAACATCATCTAGGCGCATGTCTGCCAGGTGGTCAAAGTTCAGAGCACCTCTGCTTTCTGGCCTACATAGGCTTAGGAGCTAGCCGGCAAAAGAGTTCTGTGCGATCGCCTAAACCTGCAGGGTTTAGGGATTCAGGGGTTTCGGGGTGCTACCATCATCACGGCATAAACCCTGAGCCCTAAGACCCTATCAGATCTACAGGTCCCCTTGGCCAAGCTACCCTGCAAGGCGTCCAGCTCATCCTTCCCGCGGCAGCCCGCCATCAAGACCTCGTGGCGAAGATCTCGGTGCAAGTGTTCCGCGGCCTCGCGCAGCCTCTTTTTCACGTGGGCCACCTGTCCAGGGAGCACCTGCCCAAAGAGCTGACGCCAGTCCTTTCCGAACCTGGGCGTGCTTTTGAATCCGGGCCCTTTCCCTATGACGAGAGGATTGCCGGGCCTGGGAAAAATGGTCTCTATAGTCAAACCACTAATTTCTGTCTCTGTCAGTGGTGTTTCATAGAAGAACCAGCTACCAAGTCGGGCCGTGCCACTTGTCGTACACAGGTGCGGCTAGCTCCTCTGGCCAGTCCAGATTTCCCTTCGTTGGATGTGACCACTCGCAGTCTCGACGAACCATGCCCTTGTAGGTCATATGGTGGTAGTTCGAGTGGACCGCCCATTCGTTGGAGGTGCTTTCGGCTTGAGCCTTGCCGGAGGCCGCTCCTGCTTGAACTTTGGCTGCAAGTGAACGTTGGAGATTGTTCATCGCCAGCTGCTCCCATGACGACAGAATATCTTGAATCCTAGTCTGGAAAGTGCGCACGTGCCGGGCAGTGATCTCCTCGCACTTCTGGCGCCTGTGCTCTTCGTGCGTTCCTGGGTCTTGCAGATGGGCCACGATGGTCTTCATGGTGGCGCACAGGAGGTTGAGCGGGTTGCTGACACTGTCGATTTGGCGTTTCAAAACCTGCATGTGCATTTGCTTGCGCAGATCGGGTATCTGCGTCTGGTGGGTCGTGTTGAAAGTAAGTGGCTGGTGCACATCCAGACCTGACACGCGTAGGTAATCGGTGGCCGATACACAAAAGCAGCCGAAGGCTGACTGCTGAGTCTGCTGCTGTGCCCCTTCAGCTTCGGTCTGCCACAGGTCCTGCTCCATATCTTGGACGAACTTCCATCGGACGTCCTGAGCTCGCTTCAAGGCCAAGTCGAGCCTCGAACTGAAATTGCCGTTTTTAGCAATCTCCGACTCATTCAAGACGTCGCTGTGGGTAAGCACGAAGGTGATCTCTCCTTCGCTGTTCTTGTTGAGGAGCACCCTCCGAGAAAGGCCTCGAAGCATCTTCTTGGCAATCTGGTTGCTAAGCCCACGAGAGACCTGGCCAAGCTGGAAGCTGCCGAACCCCATTACTGCGACGATACAAAACCAGCAACGGCAGCAGACACCAAACCATAAACATCAACACCATACCGCAGCAGCCGTAGCAACACCATCCAAGACCTAAAGGATGATGTCCTCGCCTTGGCGAGCACCCAGACGTAGTCACACGCCGCGACCAGGGCCTGCGCCATCTTGTGTCGCTCCTTTCACGAGAGGATGTTTGGGAGGCTTGCGGTGACAAGGCGTCGTGTTAGGCATACAGGGTTTGGGATAGTGAAAGTGACCTGCAGGATATGAAGACTAAGCTTGTTTGCCGCCGCCCGCCATCTTGCCGGATTTGATTGGGAATGAACGACTGACGGAGTGCTAAGCCGCTGCAAGCCGCTTGTATGTGAACCCACCTTGTAACTATAACACCTGTATAAGTCCAAGATGAAAGGCCTGTACAAGGCCCAACAGAAAACCCTAATGCATCAGTGCCCCAAGCTCAGAAACTCCTGGTTTTCGTCACCCAAACCAGCGGCATCGATGAGCTGGACTCCGCGGAGATTTTCGTTCGGCAAAAAGACTTCGACGTTGCGGATGAAGGCGGCGCCTCGATCGCTTCACTTTGGTTGTTAGCGGGAGGGAAGGCTTGGGGAGCCTTCCTTGCTAGTCTTGCTGTTCTGGCTTGTAATCGTACTCCACCAGCTGTAGTCCTACTAGTCTTCTTCGCGCCCTACTACTTCGGCTATACGAAGCTGAGGACAACATGCTTCACACACTCAGGCGGAGTCACAGCCGTTGGCCGAGTTCACAGTGACCCAGTCCCGCAGCTGCTCGCAGAAACACTGCATGTCGTTTTCCTCCAGCACATAGACTGCAGACCCATCCTCGTCTCGCTTGAGAGACATTTTCCCGATCTGGTCCGACTGCGTCCCGAACAAGAGCTGCAAGCCCTTCACTGTCGAATCCTGAGATTGAAAGTACTGCAGCATCTCCTGCTGGTTCCGCCAGCCCTGCGTCGCCCCTGCAAAGCGGGCACCGTACCATTCTTGCAACCTCTGAGTGGCAAAAAAAGCTTCATGCGTTTCGTTTGCGGGCAGCTTGGCCGGGATCTTGCACTCCTTGCGTTCGTGCAGCCAATACTCTGCCACGCAAACAACCAAGTCGTGCCGCTGCTGGCGAAACGCTGCAGGTGAGAGGAAGTGCAAGCGGGCACCAAATCGTTTGCTGGCCGATATCTTCGAGTTGGCGGGCCTGGAGTCTGAAGTCCCTTGCGCCAGCCACTCGGCCCATCCTTCCGGATGCTCCGACCGCGGTTTCTGCTGGGGCTGCCTGGCGTACTCCCGGTAGCTGTAGATCATGGTGCAAGACGTGACCGCAGTACCTGAGCAGTCGCTTGGCGCAATGCCTGGCATGTCAAGCAGCGCGCTGACGAGGGAGCTCTTACCTTCTCCTGTTCCACCATACAGCAAGATCTTTACAGGCTGCGGAGACTCCTGGTGAAACTTCACTTGCTGTGCATCGTTGCGCCATCTGCCCAGCATGTCTGCGACATGCTCAAGTGGCAAAAACCTCTGACAGAGCTGTAGCAATGCAGTTTGTGCCTGCAGTCCATGTTTGCTAGCCTGAGACAGCAGCTCCTGCTGCCGCACAAAGCTGCGCACCTCCTCTGCCAGCGCCCGCTCGTAGTGTACAAGTTTGGCCCTACACCGGAGTTTCTCGCAGTCCGGGTGCATCAGCTGACCTGTCAGCGGCAACATGCCATCTTTCGGAACGAGGAGCAACCTGAAGGAGAAGCGCCGTGGCCGGTCAAGTCCTTGCTGCAGGTACTGTTGCACCTGCTCCCGGTGCTGCTTGATGACATCATACCGGGACCTCCATGGGATTAAGCAGTGTTCTGCTCAACCTCTGACTGGCACCCACCATAACATCAACGACTATATACCAATTCTCGAGGGTGCAATGTGGAAGACTCAATTTGTGACAGACGTCTAGCTTACTGTCTCAGCTTCTGCAAGACAGCCATCTGCCTTAAACATGACGAATTGAATAGAACCTTTTGCTTAACCTTCCCGCCTGGCACCTTTAGAGCTTTCCTCGTACGGCTTGTCCGAGGCACTGCCCCAGGAGCTTTTCACCATCTTTCCCGTCCAGAGCGTGTGTTTGTTCACCCAACTCCAGGCCATAGTGACGACTTGCCGACCCCAGCCTTTTGGTTCAACTCCCCGGAAGGTCTCTTCCAAGATCTCATCGCTGAGGCGCGCATCCTCGTCGGATGCTTCCCGCGGCTGTAGGGTCAACTCTCCGTTGCTGATCGAGCCGTCTGCGCTGAAACTCACCACACCTCCTCTCTCTGGCTCTGGGAGGCTGAGATCGAGCGAAGGGTGCCAATATGCCACCTGCCCTGAGACGTGCTGCCCCGTAATCTGCCGAACACGGAAAAAGATCGTAGACAATGTTGACACCAACTCCAGTCTCAGCACGTCACCCTCATGAAGCAGCCGGGGCATCCCTGACGCTGTCACTATATTTTAGAAAGAAGCCGCATGCCTACCAAGCAATAACTGTCAAACTATGAGAATCATGTCATGTTTGTTCCATGCGCCTTTCAAGTCTATGCCCGCTCATCGCTGGAGCCAAGCAAGCTGCGAGTCCACTACGTCCTTCCTGCATTGACATGCCACGTACATGCGGCTGCAAAGTCTGGCAAGCCCCAATCCCATGGGATTTCGAGGGTCCAAGTCCTTAACTAATGAGTACTAAAGCATTATTCCCTATATAAAAACCCAGAGTCCTTAATATATTGGTACTTGGACCCTTAGGGGAAGCTTCAGCTGAAAGTCTTGAAACATCACACGCCTTGCCGCATCATTTCTGAGCTCCAGGGCCCAGGCAGGCTTTGAGCTCAACCTGCAGTGTCTGCACGCCAAAAAGTGCGTCAGCAGCTGCTCCCAGCCACATAGACAAATTGTAGGCATCACTTGTGGGCAACACCCTATATTAGCTGCACCTGCAGTGTGTTCTAAACCACTACTCTTTCATGAAACACTAAGGTTTTTGTAAAACACAACATCAAAGGAAAACTCAGTCGACTCTGCCAGCCCCTGAGCCCTCCGACCCACGGCGCTGCAGAACCAGAATTGCAAAGGTTCAAAGATAGGACGACTGGAAAGCGGAAATCAAAGAGGTCTGGGGCCTTACTACGTCTAAGTCTAGGGTGTAAAGTTGCAGTAGGTAGTGACTAATGATTGAACGTCCAAGGATTGTTGACAAAGGTCGCCCTTTTTACCTACTACACCGAATAGCACAAGCGGCAAAGCTGCAGCAATCTCCAGCCTGCACGACGGCCTTTGCACCATCTTCTTTGGTTAGCTTGATCTTCTCGCGCTGCATGAGCAAGGCTGGGTTCTTCCGTCCGCATTACGTACGCACTGATTGCAGCGCCTGCCTTTGCACATGCTCCAGCCTGCCTATAGGATCTGTTCCTGGAGGGCACACATTCTGAAGGAGAGATGAAGATGCAGCTGGTGTTATGGTCCTCGGAAGGTGGAGCGCAGCAGAGCTTTCTGCAGCGAGACCTCAGTCCATCAGCTGAGACGCAAATTGCGCTTGTTGCTGTGAGTCTTGTCAATGTCAACCTGTCCAAGTTTGCAGGATCTTGCAGGCACAGGAGGTGGATGACAGAATGATAGGGGCCACGCTAGGTACGGAAGGCTTCTCATCGGCGGGATGATAGGTTTAGAGTCCGCGTGTCGGATCCCAAGTTTCCCGCCGCAAAGCCATGATTTGGCTGCGGCAGTTGCAAATGAAGACAAAGCGGCTGTTGGAGACGTACCTTCACGTGGCTCTCACGCAGCACGGTTGCGACTGGCAGCGCCGCATATTCATGCAAACATAAGGCCAGCCAAACAAACATCAAGTTTGCAGACGCCCACAACCACACGACTCCATAAATCTCAACATTTCCGTGCACTGCTCAATCATGCGCCACGATGCAAACTGCCGTACTGGTCATGTTGTCGGCCTCCTCGGAAGCCGGGGCGGCCGGAGCTTCGGCACGTGCGCTGGGGCGCTCATGCTTGTACGGACACTTGTCACGCGCACACCAGTCGCAACCAAAAAGTCGGGAATATCATGTCCGGTCATTTCTAGTCTGATAATACTTGGCGTGAATACGAGCCATATCTGCTGGCGATTATACCGGGAGCCAAGAACCGCAGGAACAGTGATGCTCGTCGCGATGCAGTACTCTACCGACTCGAAAAGCCATCACACGTATGATTCTGCTACTGATGCTGGGCATAGACTACCGCATGGTTTGTCTTATTCCTTTCAATATGATTAGACATGACCACGAGCATCATAGTAGAAGGAGGTTGCTCACAGTTCAGCTACTGCGAGCCCACATGCAAACGGTACAGGCAAACACTACTGATTGACTAGTTACTACACCAACAACGTGGGAGTACTTAGGGGCAAACAAACGTCACGCTTCTGTTGCAAATTGTGGTTACGAGTTGCCGACGTCAACATGAGTCGTCAACATGCAGGAATGTTTCTTGGAACGACTGCGGATGTCATGGTTTCTGCAAAGGGCGAGAGTCTTGATTCTTGAAGCTGTCGGGTCAGAGATGCGGGAAACACGCATGCCGGAAGCCAAGCCAAGGTGCGAGTGAAGGATACAGCGATGGCATGCTCCAAGCACAGCATTGAAGCTGATGTCATTGACCAGATCAAAGTGATCCATGCCCCGAAGGAGAGCGAGACCTGTTCGCCACAGACCTCGCTTCTCGCATGCGCTGATAGCAGCATTGCAGGTGATGTCACTGATGCTGACCGACGGATGAGCACGACTCCTTTGCAACAGATCCAGCGCCGCTTCCCAGACCGCCCCCTTCTCACATGCGCTGACTACAGCGCCAAAAGAAACCATAGTGCATGAGGCCGATGTTTTTTTCAACAGGTCCAGCAAACGGAGAGACACCTGCCACTTGCCCGCGCAGCTGCCAATCGCTGCATTGAAGCTGATGACATTGCGACGCACGCGCTTGGATGCGAACTCATGCAGCAGCAGCGTGGACTGAGCCCAAGCAAAGAACTCTGACTGCTGCCCCGTGCTTATGACAAGGTTTAGGATGATCTCCGTCAGCAATGGGCGTGCGGACCTTAAGAGATCCACCGCTGTACTCCACGCTGGCTTAAGCGCCGCTGCCAGGCTGGCAAAGCTGATCGAATCCTGGCGTGAGGTAAGCAAAAGCAGTGCCCAGAAAGATGTTATTTACTCCAAACGACGCAACAAACCAGACCTCTGCAAGCGGCACTTCATGCACCCAAGAGGCTACACGAATGCCCTCCTGACGGTGCTGAAGGCAGAGCTGGGCGGCGTGCTCCCAGGATTCACGGCAAGCTCCCACAGCAGCATTGGCCCCGATGATGTCAAGCTCGAGACTGGCGACCGGAAGTCCCCGCAGCATGTGACCAGCCTTCCAAGCTTAAAAAAACTGCTGCGATCAAGAGAACCTTTCTGAATAAGTCGCTCGTTCTCAAGCCGTCTTGTGCCTTCTTCCACTTGGAAGCTGCATCGCAAACGCTGATGACGGCGTTCCGACATGGTAGGTGAGACCGGACGCCTTCTGTCCCCATCTCAAGTAACCAATGCAAAGCGCGCACCCATTGATCCCGCAAAGCACTCACTAGCAAGTGGTAGACGTTACTTGGGGCTGTTGGGGCCACCTGCAAACGCAGCACATTCAGGGTGTCCTGCGAGCGGCTCCACTGCCTGCCCTCTTTGAATGCACTCATGGCCGTGGCAAAGCATACGGGATCAGGCACGAGTGCTTGCGGCAGCATCCCACACACATGCGCCGCTGCACGCTGCCACTCCGACGCCTTTCCTAGCGAGCTCGTCAGAGTGCCTGCCGTAATCGCATCGGCATCCGCAGAGGAGGCCAGCGCTCGACGCCAGGCACTGCAACGTTCGTAGGCCGTCAGCAAGGCAGAGAAGCATGGGATGTTCGGTCGCACAGCGTGAGACATCGATGCTTCGAGCAAGGCCGAGGCAAAGCCCCACTGAATGGAACGAGCCATGGATGTCACAGCCGCACTGCAGCCGACGACATCTGTTGCTATCGTGTCATCTAGAAATCGCAGCAAGTCGGTTGTCACTGCCCAGCATCCTTCCTAAGCACTCGTGCATCTCAGATCACATCCTACAGTATGCCAGCTACTGCCCAACAACGGAAGACGGCAGACGTATGCCCAGGTGCGAATGCTTTGCAAGCATCTAAAGCACTGTTGCGGCTGTAAGCATCTGGCAACAGCCGCAAACACCGCATCTCTTGCAGGATGTGCAGGGCGCTGGGCCAGTTGCTTCCACGACCCGATGCTGCAATCCGAACGTTTGCGGAGACCTGACGGGCAACAGTGCTAAAGCTCATTGGGATGACGAGCCCGTGCCCTGAGTGAGCAGATACCGCAATCGACCTACATTGCTGGACTTGTGAATCGTCGAAGTCGACGGCCATCAACTCGCACTCCTTGCAGACATGCCCCTGCCTGGTCCCGCAATGGCTCAGGAAAACCCAGGACGGAAAGACTACGCTGCCAGTCGATTGGGCATGCAGCCACGGTCTTCAGCCACACAGCCTCGTCATTCTATCTGCTTGCAGATTGCGATTGTCGCGAACACTTCCTGCTAAACATTCCTCGGAAAAGCAAGCTGAGCTGCCGGCATCAAGCCTCACCAAGCCGCTGCCAGCCTTTCTGATTTGGAACAATGCTTGGCGCCAAGCCCTCGTGTGACGACACGCCCGGATCGCACCATCGTAGAGTCTGTGCTGGTCGTGGCGGTCATGGTGCTCCTTGCCCATATAGGCCGCATTCTGCGAAACTGCAGCTCCCCACAGCCAACGAACTTGCCACAGCCGCAGCCATTGCGGGATCGTCAGGAAGGTATCGAAGTTTCTTTGCGCGTGTTTTCGATCGCTATTAGCCTGTCAGTATCTGTGTACGTCGGACACGACGCCATTTTTGTGTACATAACTCGTCTTATGCAGTTCGAACACTCAAGTTGTCCCGGGCCCAAGCACAGAATCGAGAGCACACTACCAAAACATTCTTTCAAATCAGATAGGCCCTCTGCCAGCTCCAAGCTGGGGGCACAGTGCACTCAAGTCCTACTGCAAGCAGACAAGCGCCTGTCTCTGTTTTCTCATGAAGCCTCCTTTAAGGCTCTCGTGGCTTCTCACCGACCTAGGCCTCGCCGCAACGCACCGCCCTGCCTCTTAACAAGGCATGTGCTCGCACCTGCGACGGTCACAGCAGCAAGCTTTGCATTTGCACCACGAGGCAGGGTGGAGGGGGCCATGTGTCTTGAAGTTTTGTTACTAAGGAGCCCACCATCCGCATGGAATTTTCAAAGTCATGTCTGGGCGCAAAGACCCACACTTGTGGTAGAAGGCACACAGCGTCGCATAGATGCTGTGGCAGTGCCGTGGATTTCCACGGCAGCCCTCGGGAATTCAAACTGTTGGTAGGAAGCGAAGGAAAGCCCGCGAAACTGGTTCACCATGGAGTCGGCATTATCTGCAACCGTGCATCGACAGGGATGGTGGCCCCCGTGTTGTGATCAATTCGAGAAACGATGTCTTGCCGCGGCCGTACCTCATGCAGGCTCATCGGCCAATACCACTTTGGCATCGCCGTTCTTCACACTGATCTTTCGACTCCGTATGCACGCTTTGTGCCCCCTCTACATCCTAATTGTCGGGGACACTCAGTAAGGGCAGACCCGAACTGAGTCGTGAGCTTCTGCCGCTTGGTCTTGACTATTGTGCTGCTCGCCGTCGCTGCTGTGGTCGGAGCTGTAGTTGTAGAAGAAGTACTGCTGCTGTTGTTGTTTGCGTCATTCTGCTGTAGTAGTGCTGTAGTTGATGATTGCTGTGGCTGTTGCTGTGGTTGTGCTGCTTCTGGCGTTGACACACGGACTGAACGACCCGAGGACACAGGACTTCGACAGAATGAGGCAACATGAGGCAACGAAAACGAGAAAAAGCAAGAAACACAGGACCCAGGACTGCGCCCGCGTGAGAGAAAGCGAACACGGGAGGCAGGACACGGCTGCATGAGAAAATGTGGACGGAGCAAACCAGAAACCCGGGGCAGAGGATCCGACAATGTGAGACCAAGCGGAGCTAACCGAACAAAACGCCACACGAGACTCCGAACCGTTGAGACAAAGCAAACTGGAGCAAACAAGGATGCCAGGAAGCAGGAGACAAAGCACACCTGGACAATCGCTAACCGCTCCCCAAGCA